CTTTCTCTGAGAAGAAAGTGAAATGACTGGACAAATTGAATCACAGTGAGTTAAAGTCAGGAATAATAGCTAAGTAAACAAAGCCACTGGAACAAAACAGATCTGGCTTCATTATAACCTTCATATTTATACCACTTCACAAAGAAGGTCTAGAGCAGATAGCAATGTAACAAGCAGCATTCCCTTCTATATCCAATGAACAGTACTATGCACACCTGGAGGCAGAGTTAAGGTTACACTGATAGCTAGAAGCTTAGACTTGAGTCTAAGACAGAAATATTACTTTTAAATACTTGACTTACATTGGGTATGCATTGTGTAAAGCATGCATATAAAATCACATTAAAGCTTATACTTTGCTACAAAATATTTATGAGAGAATTTTAGACTCAATGTTCCCTTAATGAGTCTGATATGAAAGTATTTAATGATTAGATAATCTGGATCCTTTGTTCACAACTTTAATTTGCCTGTTTACTAATGAAACAAGTTTTGGAGCAGTTTGGCAGCTTTTTCAAGTACCTTCTTAAAATTCTGCTGAGAATTTTGTTCCCTGAAGTGAATGGTTTATTTGCTCGAGTGGGCAATGAAACTAGTAGCTGTAAGACAAAGGCATTTAGCCCTGTTAGCAAAAAGGTTGCATTTTAATGATTAAAAAAAGAGGCTACTGCTATAAGATCCCCTCATCATAAAATAAGGAAATAAATTAGTTGTGCCTTTTTTCCCATTAAAATGTGAACTAACACTGCACAGCAATTATGTTTGAGGCTTGCAATGAGATATCTAGGTTTTAAATAAGATTGTAAGATTAGGAATGAATTTTATAATAGTATTAATAGAACAGCAAATGAATAACTACAAATCAACTATAGAAACCAACCCCCGCCCTCCAATGAAGACAAAATTAACTACAGCAAGGAGAAGACTGCGAGAAGGGAGCCTTGATTATCCAAGCACACGCTGGCCATCTGATCTTGGATGCTGGCAATAAGTAGGGTAATTATTTGGATAATTATAGTATTGGTTGCCCAGTGCTCCCATATGTTCCATTAAAGAAACCTTTGGCATTATGAACAGGCTGTAGGCAGAACCAGCAGAAATGAAACAGAGATACCCAAACTCCTAAAAGCTTAATGAAAGAGAATTAATGACAACAAATGATCCCAAATCAGCTAAACCAGGCAGGCCATTGATGGCTTAGCCTCAGAAAGACACAAGGTGATTTCAAACCAATGCAGGCAATTCAGGAAAGTGGCATCTTTGCAAATTCAGCAGTGGACCTAATTGTTTTTTAAAAATTGGAATGTATATTATTTATGAAATAAAACAAGATTCCTTGTTATGAAGCCTTTCATAGGAAGTGAAAATTCAAGAACATTTAGGGTCATGCCTGTTGTCTCAGATATCGAGTTAGCTAGGTATCTTAGATACTAGGTGTTTAAGTAAGATTCTCAACAGAATGAGCTGCACATGTTATCACTCAGCTGTATTTAACATTGGCAGTAACTTGATTTAACTGCGCAGAGAAGAAATTACTTCAGTGAAAGTATGTCTCACTGTTTTGTTTGGGTTTGGATTTTTTTTTTTTTTAAACAGAAACACCATTAACATATTTTGTTAAACAGACCTACCCACTAGGGATTTTCTTTAAAACTCAGAAACCTTTTTTTATTTTTTTCTCCTAACTACCACCTTAAAGTAGGACAATTGTATATTTGAGGCCTTCACCGACCACAAAAAGCATGTCTGATTTTGCAACTTTATAAGCTTTGCTTAAACATTTTGCACCTGGACTAAACCATTAATTTGTTCCTTCCCTCCACCTCTGGAAATAGTAGAACCTGTCTGATTTAGTCTCTAAATGCTGGATCAGTATTGTCTTTCTTCCATGTACAACATAGCCTCTTTATCCCCCAAATAATTTGGCCAGGTTAGGGCACACAGAGGTTCTTTTGCTGGTAGAAGGTCCAGAGAAGTTTGTTCTGGGGTATGGTTTCATGTTAAATTGTTCAGAATATTTTGGCAGAGAAGCCTTTACGTTATATGAATCCATTCCCTCCAAGATGCTTTTCCTACAGTAAACTAAGCTTATCTACAATTCTATTAAAAAGAAAGGAAAAAAAACAATGAATTCCAGAAGTGATTAAACAAATTACTGAATTCGTGCCTAGGTAGATAGTGTAATGTATGCATAGAAGTACTCTCTTGTAGATAATCAGAAAGCAGCCTTCAAATGGGCCAGGATTTATTTTAAAGGAGTGCAAATCTTGCTGAAATAAAAAAGTGTAGTCCATCTAATTTTGCTGAATAGATTGACATTTTTTATAAATTTGAAAGAAATACAGTACACACTGTGTTGGTTGGATGTCGGTTGGAACTATATATCTAATAATTATAAAAGAACAATTCAAAAATTTACACACTGAAGACACAGGCATCACTTTCAAATGCTTACAGAGCTTGTCATGGCAGCCTGAAATATTTTGACATATTTATTTCATGGTGCTCAAATTGCTTTATAATCAGATGAGGTACAGCTGCAAATTCAGAGGGGTCTACCACTGTATCAGCCGTTATGGACTCCAGCCATATGCTTGTATGCCAAATTGGTAGTCAAACCCTCCCTACTGGCTGGATATGACAGTTACTACTTCTCCAAACACTCTTTAATTGTCACGTCACAGTATATTGATCATGCAAAACTTAGTAGACTGCTCTAACTTTTCATTGTATTTGGCAAAAAACACTGTCATTATAGTCTGTTAAAATTCAAGTGTGGTATCAGGTGTCATTTTTATTTTCTTCCAAACAGCTGATGATCCTGGGCACCAGCATGCCCTGCTGCAAGGCCCATTCAGCATCTGCTGCCATTCCAGTGTCCTACGGCACAGAGGATTTCCACAAGTTAATCCTTCTTGCAAATCTTTCTTTTCTTTAAGATTTCAGTAAAGACCAACTAAGCTGTTTGCCCTTACTGTCAAGGTCCAATATCACCCCTGTGGCAAAGTAAACAAGTAGATATCTATTTTTATGATATTTTTCAACTGAATGCCTGCTTGAAATTTTCTTCCTGTGCCTGAAGGGAATATATTGGGCAAGTACCCCAAAGAGCTATACCTTAAGACTCCCTTGTTACCTTGCCATTACAGGTAGATTTACCCTGGTGCACTACATTTTCTCACTTCTATCTACTTCTTCTGGGTTTATCAATGAATACCACAGAATTTAGCAGCGTTGCATCAAGTTGTCATTGTGGAAAGAACAGTTGCAAAGCTCTAATACTTCATGTTACAATTACCAGCAAGTTGTGGAATCTCATTCTCATAAAACCCATCATGAATTTTTTTCATGAACAGCTCTTTGAAAAGTGACTAGCTAACCTACAAATTTTTCCTCTTAGTAGATGATTGAAATTAATAACATCACACAGCTCACAAAGGCTACAGCAAAACATTACAAATTTTAAGTGAAATATCAGACCAGCCATTCTGCATTCTAATGCAGTATTTTGATGACTTCTTCATCCCTAACATTTGGCAATAAGCAATTAAGCATTTTGTTATTTCAAAAACAAGTACTCCACACTTCAAGTTGCAGTCTTATAATAAGTATGAAAAAGTGCCTTTCTTACAAAGACACTATTTGAATTAGTATTTCAAACTGAGCTTCTAATGTTTCATTATTAATATTTCAGATAAGGGTGTTGAAAAAGCATGAAGTCAGAAGGCCAAGAGTCAAGTACTGCTGCTAGCTAGGTTCAGAAAATGGGCTCTAAATGCAGCACATGGATTTCATTTAATGCCTCCTGTCATGTCAACAGGTCTTTATGTTGTCTTACTATTCTAAAGAAGAAAGTTAGACAAATACTTGACTTTTTTTTTTTTTTTTTTTTTTTTTTTAGCCCCTGTTATTGCTCCACACTGCTATTTCAGGCAGAGCCATGGCAGTCCTGTAGGCAAAGAAAACAAGTCTCATGAACTGAGTGAGAACAAAGCTGTTCCTTGCCTTAAATATGCTGATACTTTTCTTTCTGATCCAAAACTTAAAACTAAATAGCAGCTTTTCAACTAGACTAGTAAGTCTACATAATATTAAGGATCATCTGCACTACTGTATGACAAGTCAAGGTAACAATGAAACACCCATGGTCACAGTGAAATAGAGGTGAGTAAAGGCACTTTCTAAGTAGCATAATAAAAATAATATCTGACTTGTAGTATGTCTCTGAAAAGCTGACATAACTTTCAGTACCCTGAAGAAGAGACTTCTAATGGAATGACTGCTTGCATTTAAGGCTACTTAATTCTTAAACACACTCCACCTGCCTCACACACCACATACCCAGAAACAACAGGAAGAAAACCCACCCAAAGAGGTAGAGTTTAGATCCCACTGGCTGCTGTAATTCACATATACCTTCATCTGGCTACTACTTTTTTTTCTAGAAACATTGAAGAAAAACATAAGCAGGTAAGAAGCATCAGAGAAAAATGACAGTGTTTTGTCAATACCTCAGCTTAAATACAAAGGCAGTTTATCACAAACAATTTTTTTTCCCCCAACATCTTGATACACATCAAGGTCTCAGGGGGATGCAAAATGACTGTGCTGTTTGTATAACAGCTACCTGAATAATCTTACAACAGAGAATACCTCCATCAATAGCAGTGAACAACTCTAGACCACCTGTGATTTCAGAGAAATCATTCCAGCAGGCAAGAACTGCAAGTTAGAATGATACTCACCTCTTTGTGCGTTTTGTTGATAAGCTAGGTCTCACCTTTCGTTACATATGGACATTTACATAAAGAGACCAACAGATAGAACTCTGCAATTTCTTTATGTTATTCAAGGCACTTTGATATATGATTTTTCCCCTAAAAGCTAAAACCTAAATGCAATAGTAACTAAATATTGATAACAAATTAATACAAAATTATTCAGAATGACACAAAAGAGACGAGAAATTAAGCTATGAAAACAACTGATAAAAACCAAACCTCCTCCACTAGAAGTAAAAACTGGCATTTTCTTTACTATCAAGTGCTGACACAGCTGTGGAAAAGCCAAAAGCAACAACTGAAGCTTGATAGGGAGCTCTGGCTTGATTGAAGACCAGTAGCTGATAGCTTACCAAACACAGCATTGTAAAATGCTCTTACAGAAGCTTGTGCATTTTAGTATTGACAGCAAACAACAACCTAATGCTCCCCTACCCATGTTAAAGCTTTACCTTTAGGCAGGTTCAAACACTGTTCAAACACTAGAGGTTACAAACACTCAATTAGTCTTTCAGATCTATCTATAGAAGCCTAATGCTCTATCTTACCCAGCTGTTTAATCCTTAAAAGGCTGAAGGCAGCTGTAAAGCACAGTCAGATACTCTGAAGATCACTAGAGGGAAAGGTATCTAACACTGCAGCTGCTTTAGGCAGAAGTCTAAAGCATACATGCTTCTGGCAATGGTGATGTAAAGAGATTTTTGCAACCTTACTTGTGCTGGAGAGTCCTGCATAAACAAGCATAATTCATCTGCATAATCACCACAACTCCAGCTCAATCACACAGGCAGCAATTCTAAGAAAGAGTCAGCTGCTGAATCTGCATAGCTTCATTACACATGAGCTGTATAGACAGCTTGCTTCCGAAGTGCTGCTTTCCTTTCAGAGTGGCTGAGTGCCAGAGAGCTTATTGGGGAAACAGGCCACGCTGACATATATCACTGAAAAAAAAAAAAAAATCTCAAATACAAGAAAGCCCAGAGTTCATTTGGCAAATGAACCCTTTCAGTTCAGGGTTCAGTATATAGCACAGATTTAGACTACAAGGGAGAGCCGGTTACACAGCTGTCCTTCTAGTCACTTAACACAACTTGTTAGGTGAAGGCCTCCTTCACAGATTAGAAGTACCTTGACTTGCTTTCCAGAAGCTTGTATTTCATAGCTTGAGAAACTGTTGACGAAGTTAGTCCTTCAACTTCCTTCCTTGTGCTTTCCTTTTCCCTCACCCTAATTCAGGACTTAAATTAAAAACTATTTGGACATGCAACATACCTCTCAAGAAAACTCTACAAACCTAGCTACTTTCAACACAGTAACATCATCTCACCTACTAAATTAGTTCCTTGCTTTGTTCTCCAAGACTCTCTAGGAGCCACTCTCCCCTAAACAGCTTTTAAATAACACACCAACTCACCCTTTCCCCTTCATCTGGGACTAGTGAGATTAATTAGAATCAAGGAGATTAATTAGAATCAAATTTCCACTTTGGGCTGGTTTCTGTCATGACAGAAATGTAAGTAACAGTGAAGTCATATTTGGAAATAAAATCTGGTCTCTTCAGTAACTCCTCTAATGTTTTCCTCTAGCATATATAACTAAACTGAAAAGTAGCTTGAAAAAAAAAGGCCTGGTGGATAACAAGTTGGCCATGAGTCAGCAACATGCCTCTCTGTCAGAGGCAGCTAACAGCCTCCTGGGATGCTAAGCACTGCTAGCAGGTCAAAGTGGGGATCCTTCCTCTCTGCTCAGCTCTGGTGTGACCCATCTGGAGTGCTGGGTTCCCCAATACAAGAAGTAATTAGACATACTGGAGCACATCCAGTGAAGTGCCCCGACGATGATTAAGAGACTGGAACACCTCTCCTATGAGGTCCCGTCTAAGGGAGCCTGGACTCTTCAGCATGGAGAAGAGAAAGCTTGGACGATCTAATTATGTATATAAAAATTTGATGGGGAGAGGTAAAGAAGGTTGAGCCAGACTCTTTTCAGTGGTGCCCAGTGACAGAACAAGAGACAATGGTACAAATTGAAATGCAGGAAGTTCTGTTTAAATGTAATAAAACATATTTCTTGGGAGGGTGGTTAAATATCAGCACAGGTTGCCCAGAGAGGTTGTGGAGTCTCCATTCTTGTAGATATTCGAAACCTAACTAGACATGGTCCTAACCTACTCTAGTTGGCCCTTCTTTGAGCAGGGGGTTGGATTACATGACCTCACAACGTTCTGGCCAACCTCATTCATTCTGTAATAACTCTGTAATGTGGTACAGTAATTTTGAAAACACTCCTTCTGCAAAAATATAACAACTGTGAAATATTCCAAATATAACAAATCTCTATAGCTGTCAGAAAAAAAATATTTCTGCATAGAGAACTGCTCTTTCAAGTATTTTTGCACCTTTTAGGACAGAGAAGTCAAATAAGCATGATTTAAAAGGAAATAACAGAAAAATGTCTATTTTTAAGCTTGTAAGAGAATATTAAATTAGCAGCCATATGATGAAACAAAGCTGTTCAGCGAATAATCTTTACTCTTGAGTCTTGCAAACCAAGTTCACTCTTTCACGAAATTCAACTCTGCAAGGATTATTCAATGCAAAAATGCATTTGAATTTGCAGTTCAAATATTCCCAAATATTCCTCTGAATGGATCTCTTAAGGTATTTCTGTGGTTGGGTTCCATTATCTCTCCTGTATCATAACCCAATTCTATTAATTGCAGAGAGCGTAAAATAGCAACCAGTTGCATGTTTAATCAGAGAAACATGAAAGACTTTAAAAAACACGTTCAACATTACAGCTAGGTTGTAAGATTACAAGATGTGATTGAAGTTCTTCTGTTTGTCACTTGATTATGTCCATTGAAAAAGACATAGAACCATCTTGGGAAGCTATGTTTTTAAGAAAATCTATAAATAATGCAGCCTGTACTACTATCACTGTAGAATATTAGTATCTGAAAAAATAGTTTACTTCAGGAGAGAGTTACTCGTAGTGTCCAAGTCTCTAAGTAGCCCAGCCTAGTTAAGTTTTCTTGTTGAAGATCCTGAGTCTGAACATTTGAAAATACACTCTAAAATAAGAAGAATAGGATGAAACTACCTATTCATAGACCTGATAAGCTTTTACGTGTTTCAGTGGTACAGAATAAATGACTTATTCCTGTCTCTATCGAAGTTAAATTTCCCATTATCTTTAATGAAGGGAAGGACAGTCACTGTGGGTCTCTGAGGATGAGAGTTATTCATGACAATAAAGGAATGTGGGTCACCATGGAAAGAGACCAAAGAGGTTGTATCAAGAACACACAGTGAGATGCTTTGGTGCTCATTTCTCTATGAAACTTTCTGTTGTGCACTGTCATTTTTCTGTGGAAATCAGTCCTCTTCAAAGCCTGACTGCCAAAATGGCACCTCACAGGCAAATAATCTAAAATTCAAATATTTGAATGGGGTCTGCGATGTCTGTCTTCTTTCCCTTCCAAAAGAAATTATCCATATCCAAATAATTAGTGCTTTCATATGAGAAGGAGTTATTTCAATGCTGGCTTTTAATTAAATTCATGCTGCACAAGAACCCTGTTGCCATGATGTTGTGTGCATTACCTTCCCATAACCATCCCCAAAAAATCTTGCTGTGCATGCTGAGAAAGTAGACAGGGGCTCAACTCCTTGTAATCCTGGTTTTATAGTTACTGAGACTAAGGATGAGGCTGTATACCTTGTTCTTTTGTTAAGCTGTGGAGCATATCTGGGTCCTGCTAACATTCCTGATGTTTGCTTCTATCTGGGAAGATAAAATTCTTCCTTCTAGTGGCACTAGACCAACAGTTTCACAGACTCCAGGAACCTGATACAATGAAAGCATCATAACCCTCTATAAAGCATTTACAACAGAAGCAGACAAGCATGCTCTAGAGCTTTTCATTGCTTTTCACAGCAATTGTTCATGTTGAAATGCCAATGTCTATTTAGGCTGCACATACCAGCTTCCGACAGTACCCTGGTAAATACTTATACTCACTGTTTAAAGGAGCATATAAACTCAAAATGCATTACCTGGGAACATTTCTGTATGCCTGTTTGATTTCAGAGAATAACATATAATTTCAAGCAATTACTCTCCCTGAAGATAATTTAAGGTTATTTTTAAATTTAAATGATTAAAGGATAAACAAAATTCAGACTATTCTATTTATTTAGTCTTTTTCTTTTATATGAAGTTTAAATATGGATGGCCAATTTAAAAATTTTAAAATTACACATGGATAGAGGGTTCTTCTGTGTGATATATAGAATCATAGAATAGTTTAGGTTGCAAAAGACCTTTAAGGTCAAGTCCAACCATTAACCTAGCACTGCCTATTCACCACTAAACCATGTTCCTAAGTGCCACATCTATACATCTTTTAAATACCTCCAGGGATGGTGACTTTACTACCTCCCTGGGTAGCCTGTTCCAATGCTTGACAAACCTTTTGGTGAAGTTTTTCCTAATATCCAGTCTAACTCTCCCCTGGTGCAGCCCAAGGCCACTTCCTCATGTCTCATCACTTACCTCCTGGGAGAAAAGACCAACCCCCACCCTGCCACCACCTCCACTCAGGTAGCTGTAGAGAGCAATAACCCAATTTACTCATGGGCTCTCCCCTTTCCTTTCATAAGTGTTATTCTGTGGTTTTATTTTGAAAGCTTTTTAAAGGTTATTCCAGGGGGAAAAAAGAATGACCACAATGAAGAGAGAACCCAGAACCATGCTGATGTCCTATGGACAAGCAGAGGGCTGTACCCAAACAAAGCAGGAATGACTCAGAGCACTCTCTGACAGAGAAGAATCCAGCCGATTCCCATTATTTCTGTAAAAGAGGACGACATCTTTGTCACCCACCTTGATGAAGAAACACTTCACCTTTTCCTCAGGGCTGCTTCTCTACTGGTATACAACAGGCAACTGTGCCAGTAAGACTGAATGTGGCTGCTGTGCAAAAACTATTTTCGACTTAAATAGGAATATTTAGACCTGCATCATTTAGAAAGCATCCTCACCAAGGAATTCTCAGTAGCGATTCAGATATTACCACAATAGAAATAAAGAGTTCCATTTGTTTCACTATGGCATTCAGTAATTAGCTTTTAAATCTTTCAAGGCTAAAATTTTCGCATTGTAATACAATTACTATAGTTGCTACATTACCCTCATTAAAATGGAATTTCGTTTACAATATCTTCTATAGCAGAAATGGTTTTACCACTTAAAGGTCAGTTACTTCCAAATTTTCCTGTTCCATTTAAAAAAT